GGCGTGTGTTGCGTTGTTGACAGTCGAGGCTGGATATTTGAACGAAAGGATTTTGCACCTCGTGCCCTGTGGCATTTGGCTATCGGCACTCAGCAAATTTACTCTGTCAGCTGTTGCCAGCTGGTCATTTCCCCCGTCACTTCCAGACTCGGACCCTCCTCTGCCATTGTGATTAAACACCAGCAAGCGCAGGAATGAAACAACTTCACTTGCTTCGTACCAATAAAGTCAGTCATTCAGCAGCTAAAAAAGAGATATTTGACGCCGTTTCTTTTGCCCGAGGATTTTAGCTTAATTTATTTATCGATTTTTCTTCTGCTCGATTTTGATTGCTTGAAGCACGAGCCAATTTTAGCTTCTCAAGTTCTTGGGTGAACATGATTTTCTTTTGGTCAGAAGGTCTCACTCTTGAGTCTTGACTCGACTGGGTGATATTCTGAGATCATCATTGTTACGCGCACTACCTCGTACTCTTGCCGACTATTCGTTATCCTGACATGTTTCAGCTATCCTCCCCAACCTGCTTCATTAGCAGTAGCTCCTCCGGTGGTACCTCCTCCCACAAATCCGTTTGAGGGATTTCCCTGCCCCCTTGCACAGCCATGTGCCCCTGGCTCGTACTAAACCAGAAGTTCAGCGTTCCTGCCATCTCATAATACAGCCAGTCATCCAGCTGTGGGTCGTCCGCAGAGGGTAGCTTGTCAAACAGGACCTCTGTGTATCCGGGGAAGGTGGTGACGTTCAAAAAGGCGATGCGAAAAGGCCTTTCAAAGGTGTCAGATGGGTCGACGTGCAACTGGCACTGGCCGAGGGCGCGCTGCCCACGTCGTCGTAATCGACAAGAATGCCCTTACAAGATTGAGTCGAAGAGTAAAACACGCGGACCCGGCGTATATTCTCAAGGGGCGCGTGGGAGTACAGAAAGATCGATGGAGACTGGTCGGGCGGCGGCGGACAAGGCGGACAGGCCTCTTCGAGCGTGCCACTCTGACCCTGCTCACTGTATGCGGTAATCATGGAGATGTGGGATCTGGGCCAGTCGAGATCCGTGCTGTACCAAAGGCTCGTGGGGGGTTGTTCGGGTCGGCCGAGGAAGAAGGCATAACGCTCTGGGTCCTCATAGACGGCGGATCCGGGGTTGGCGCTGCGCGCGTACCCACCGACAATTATCTCTCCGGACAGACGCATCCTGATCTTCTCTTTGTCAGTTGCAGACCGATTGACCCCGGAAGGAGACACAGTGGGGAATGGGAGTGTACCAAAAAGCGACGAGAGTGCGCGTAGGATTCTCTCTCTAATTCTGGACGGCGCTTTACCAGAGGGCCGCAGCTTACAACCGTATCTCCTGACGCTAGAGGGACATAGACCCAAGCACAATGGTTGTCCATTTCCCGGCGTCTTCTTTTTCCATAAGCTTGGTAGCTGGCCATTGCACAAGGCTGAGCTCTGGAGTGGGCGTGTACTCCGAATACCCTACCGAAAAATACGAAGAAGGTGATGCCGGTAACAGCGGCCAAATTGATGCTGTGGTAGCGGAGCATCGAGAGAGGCTTTTCCGGTCTGGCAAGATAGGGGGCGAGGTCAGGCGGTGTTGGCGTATCCCAGACCGACCACTTGTATTCCTCGAAGTCATCAAGCAATGACAGTTGGAGAAGGCCATTCTGCTGCTTGTCAATGATGATGTACATGTACACATGGGCGCAGGGTCATCTGGGGAAGTTGGTTAACCGCCTACCTTGAACATGGCCAGGCTGGCCCCAAACACGTCCTCTCGCTCAACCACAAACACCTTGTCATCGAACCGCTCCCGATTGAACTGCGGCCTCTCTGACATGCGCTCGAACTTGCTCATCCCGTCACGGTCGATGGTAAAACGGATAAACCGTACAAGGCCCTCAGCCGCTTCTTCCGAGGCCACTTTAGGTGGGCTACCACGCTCCCATGAGACGAGCCAGCTCAATGGGATGATACGGAGAGGTCTTTCGGTGACCATTGACAAGCTCTGTGCCATGTGCATAGCAGTAACACAGCGCCAGAAGCAGTCATCTCGCGAGAGCCATTCCAAGATGGTTCCGATAACGACCTGCGGGAGAGTATCTAGCCCTTTCAAGCCACACCTTTCAGCACACAAGAGAAATGCGTCTTGGAACTGCCAGTCAGGCCTGGGAAGTAACCGTATCTCCGGGACGGCGGCACCGATCCAGGGAACACGGCGCCATGCACACGTCTGCCAGAGAATGTCCAACGGGTCGCGGGCGGTGCAATGGCGCATGAAAACTTGGACACAGTCCGGGTGAAGAGCACATCCGGGCCGGGATCGGCCATTCGCTCTATTGCAAGTCAGGCTATCCCATCTGCATAGCTCCCAGGACCCGAGCTCGACAGGCTCATCTGGCCACAGCTGCTGCGGTTGGTCTGCTGGCGTGAAGGGGTGTATGAAGCCCGTCTGGAAGCGGAAGAGCTCCCGTTTTCTCGTCACTAGAGGACAAAATCAGCTGCTTGGTCTCAGGCACAATAGGTAGGGTATCTAGGTAAGTAGGTAGGGCGTGTTCGGAGTGGAGAGAGTGCACAAACCAACATGCAACTATCGGCTCATCCCGGCCGAGGGCCTGGCCGCAGATATCACAAACGAAAGACAGCCCGTATAATAAAACATGTCGGGGGGGTTTATCTGGGGACATGTTGACCACTTGACTCTGGCTGAAAAGGTGGCCGTTTATTGATTCCCCGGAATTTCAGCGGGCAGCAGTGGATATGTACCAGGAACCACCGATCGGGCGAGTCAGACTGTCAGGCCACGTCATGGTACCAAGCAAAGCTTTCATCCAATCAACAACAACCATTTCGCGTGGTTAGGCACCAAAGGCCCAAGGCAAGAGGGACCTGCTATTCCATCTAGACAACATGTGCCGTGGTTTGGACTGCTGTTTTTTGGCGGGCACGTGGCCTCAAGTTTCCGCAGCCGAGGCCGCTCCTATAAGAACATCTCTAGCGGGGCATCGGTCCCTCTTGGTGTCCACAATACTCGCACAGTACTAAACCCCAGGCACACATACAAGTGCCGCAACACCGCCATGGAAGGCGCCCGGGGAAGACGGTCTACCGGCAATGGTATGGAGACAGCTCTGGCCAGGTGGTTAAAGACAGGGTGCTCCATTTATTCCGGACGTCGCTTCGAGACGGCCGACATCCCCAGCCAGTGGAGGAATGCCAAGATCATCCCATTGAAGAAGCCAGGGAAGAGCGAATACACTCTAGCCAAGTCCTGGAGACCCATCTCGCTGCTCTCCACGCTGGGTAAGATACTGGAGGCAGTCATTGCGGAGCGTTTATCCCATGCTGTGGAGACCTGCGGCCTTCTACCCGCCAACCACTTCGGAGCCAGGAAGAGACGCTCGACCGAACAGGCTCTCCTTCTGCTTCAGGAACACATCTACAAAGCATGGAGAGCTAGGAAAGTGCTCAGTCTGATCAGCTTCGATGTCAAGGGCGCATACAATGGGGTCTTCAAAGACAGGCTTCTCCAGAGGCTCAAGGCAAGAGGGATACCTGAATCCCTGGTCAAGTGGATCGACGCCTTCTGCTCCAAGCGCACAGCGACCATTGCCGTAAACGGGTTCACATCTGGACGGCAAGAGCTGCCCCAAGCGGGTCTTCCGCAAGGATCGCCGCTATCTCCAGTGTTGTTCCTCTTCTTCAACGCCGACCTAGTGCAGCACAAGATCGACGCGAACGGAGGCGCAATTGCCTTCGTGGACGACTACACTGCCTGGGTAACGGGCCCGTCAGCGGAGTCGAACCGCACTGGAATCCAAGCTATCATCGACAAAGCCCTTGACTGGGAGAAACGGAGCGGTGCGCAGTTTGAAGGCGAAAAGACAGCCATCATACACTTCACGAGGAACATGGAGCGATTTTCAGAACAACCGTTCTCGGTCAAAGGCGAAGTGGTCAAACCGAAGGAAAGTGCGAAAATCCTAGGTGTCGTGATGGATCGCGAACTCCGCTACAAGCAGCACATTGCTAGGACGGCAGCTAAGGGCCTCGCAGCCGCTCTGGCCCTGAAGAGGCTGAAGATGCTTTCCCCGCGGACAGCGAGACAGCTATTTGTTGCGACAGTAGCCCCGGTCATGGACTACGCTGCCAATGTCTGGATGCATGCGTGCGGGGAAAAGGCACTGAGCTGGCTGAACAGGGCGCAGAAAATCGGGGCCCTGGCCATCACGGGAGCCTTTCGAACCGCGGCAACAGCCGTGGTGGAAGCTGAAGCGAGCATCTACCCCGTACGAGAACGACACGCCCAGGCGGCAGCCAGTCTGTGGATCAACATCCACACGCTGCCCGGAACGCATCCCCTTGCCATGAAGAAAGTCCGGAACACCGTACGATTCGTATCTCCGCTGCAGAAAATTGCCCGTGTGGCCGAAGGAGTACGAGTTGACCGGATGGAGACAATCCAGGAATACGCCGTCCCGCCCTGGGTACCTCGCCTACGACCGACGCTCGAAGCCGATCGAGGGAAGGCGGCCGAGATGGTCAACAAAATTTCGGGAATCGTGATCGCAACCAGCTCATCCGTAAAGAAGGGCATTGTTGGCATGGGCGGCCTTGCACGGGATACTCTCTTCAACAGAACTAGCGAGACTGTGACAAACTATGCTGTTGTTCTTGGGACAAGGGAAGAGCAGAACCCATATACAGCAGAGCTAGCAGCCATCGCAATGGCCCTGGAGAAGTTACCGGCTAGCATCTGCCACAGGCACATCACCGTGATCACTAGGAACCAGTCAGCGCTGGCAGCAGTTGGACAGCCGCGGCAGCAATCCGGCCAAAGCATCATACGGCAAATCTACGACTTGGCCAGGCTGCACCGACAAAGAGGGAACTCGGTCAACTTTCTGTGGATACCAGCGGAGATTGACTTCGCGCTGGGGGTCAGATGCCAAGGCAGCAGCCCAGAGAGCGTCGAAGCAAGGACGCACACCCGACTCCCAAATACCCCAGGCCAAGTCTACCGCGATGAGGCTGGCAATGGAAAGACAACGGGCGACAAGAGTTCTACCTGTAAGCGTGGGCAAGTTCTCAAAGGCCATGGACGCAGCACTACCAGGCAAGCACACGCGCCATCTCTATGACAAGCTGAAGCGAAGGGAGGCCTGCGTATTGGCGCAGCTCCGAACCGGAATGGCGAGACTGAACGGTTTTTTGAGCAGGATTGGGGCGGTCGAGTCAGACCTTTGTGCCTGTGGACAAGCGAGGGAATCAGTGGAACACTTTCTTTTCCGATGCGTGAGATGGACAGCTCTGAGGGAAGACATGCTGCAATGCACAGTGGCAAGACGAGGAAGCCTCTCGTTCTATCTGGGAGGGAAAGCGCCATCAGATACAAGGCATTGGTCACCAGATATGAAGGCAGTCCGGGCGACGATCAAATACGCAATGGCAACAGGAAGGCTGGAGCTGAATGAGGAGGAGAGTCTAGACCAGTCACAGTAGAAGAAGCCGACACTCAACACCACGAGCCTCAACCACGAGCCTTAACCAGCGGGTCCCGCTTTAGCTGCTGAAGATAGGACGCTGAACACTTGGAGAAAGTAGCCTCCAAGCTGATCTGCTAACAACAACCAAGGCAAGAGGTAAATGGTGCAGCGAGAAAGAGGGAAGAAGTAGGGGGCTTGTACGAGTTAAAGGCAAACCGATTTGATCCGGATGTAGTTAGCGTGCTAAGGCCCTATAGGCCCAGTGCCTCCGGGCGAATTCCATCCATCCATCCATTTCCCTTTCATCCCCTATGCCAGATCACTGCCACTTGAGGACTCTGACTCGGATTCGGACAACTCCTCTCCAACAAGAACACCCCTCAGCCGCTCCATCAGCCGTGACCATAGCCCAACCGCCTCTGGTGGGTCCGAGCCGTCGCTGTGGCTACGAAATCTCGTCGATGACACTGTCGGCAGCGAGCCAGTATCACTCCCGCGCCGTGCAAGAAAGGCTTGAATCCCGATTGCCCTCGCCAACCTGCGGCGCCGCACATTCGGCGCCACAATCACGGAAGACATGGAGGTGCCCGACTCGGACCGGCTCGCATCGTCTTCCTCTTCCCCAGCAAGCCACCTGCTTACGGAGTTCCACTTCCCGCCGCTTTGTGTCGTGGGTTCTCGCTCCATTTTCTCTCCGTCCCCACCACCAACACCACCGCTGCCGCCGCCGCCGCCGCTACCGCTGAGGTTCGTCGCCACCCTGCGTCTCTCTCTTCGTTCTACCGCCCTCTGCTTCCCCGCCTGATATCTCGCGAACCCAAGCCATGCACCCATCACCCCCAATGTGCACGGGATCGAAAAGGCGAGGTATACCCAGAACTTGTCCCGAATCACAGGGCCTCCGCCCTCGCCATCCCAGTCGAGCAGAGGCAGGGCAAACACGGCGGCGAAGAAGGTCGCGGGAAGGAAGGTCAGCGTGGCGAATGCGATGGCTTTCATGGAGGAGCTGTCGTTCTTGGTTGCGAGGGCGATGCTGCGGGATTCTTTGGCCAGTTCGATGGTGGCGAGGTATTCTTGCTTGGCTATGAGGTTGCTGATCTGTGAGTTGGTTTCACCATCGTGTCAGCTGTTTCTGCTAGGAGCTTGAATCCAGAAGATTTAAAAGAGGTGGTCTTACCACGGAGTGCTGCACGTTGGCGCGCTCTCTGAGTAGCGCGATATATGGAGCCGCTGCGTCGCATTGCGCCAACAAGACGCTCGACACCTCCGAGACAGCGTGCGAGAGGCGTTCGTATTCGTCCCATCCACCCTCTAGGATTAGCGCCCTCCAACCTGGACTCAATAGCTCATCCCGCTGCATCCTCTGTAGCAGATCCCATGAGAAGTCGCAATTCTTCTTGTGCAGCGCGAGCACAACGCTGGTCGAGCTCATCAGGCCGGAAAGAACTCCCAGATCATCGGATTCTCGCCTCTTGTCACCGAAGAACTTGCTTGAGGCAACGCTCCCTCCCTCGAACGGGTTGAACCCCGTCTTGGATTCCGTGTCGGCAATTGCGGCGAGCTCTGGTGTGATTTCGAGGCTGATCTCGTCCATGATCCAGGAGCAGCAGATGACGGCGAGGGCCAAGGGGTGGCCGAGGAGTTTTGTGTACGTGATTATCTCCTTCCGGATCTGCTCAGCGAACGCAGTGGTCTTGCTACTTCCCGGGCTCCTCGGCCGAGCGATCAGGATTGCGCAGGTCTTGGCGCTTTGAGGGGAGTATGACCATGTCAACATGTAGCGGTCTCGGACGTGGAGGAAATAGCTGATGCAGCTATCGTCGCACTGAGATGGTGTACCATTCTTGTCCGAGAAACTGAAGAAGCCGTCGATGTTGTGAGCGATGAGGTAAAGTACGTGCGGCTCGATGTGGAATTCTTGAATCATCCTGCTGAAGGTGTCTGAGTGGATACCAAGTCTGAGATTGGCGGGATGATCTACGGTCACGAGGTCGAGAACAACGTACGGTCCGCCGAGTTGTAGTTGTCGAGGGAACTGGACGCGATGCTAGGCCGGCCTGTGAGGCCTTGTGTCTCGGAACTCAGGAAAACTGAACAATGTGCCGTTGCGGGACAGACGAGGTCCGTTGCATCCAACTTCACCTCGCCACCATCGCTCCGTGTCAGCTGGAGTCTCGAGACCGTGTGGTGAGTTTCGTTGAATTGCTGTGTTGCTGCGAAAGCAGACTTGGCTTTGGTTCTCAATGCCTCCATAGTTGGCGATTTTTGATCCCCAGGTACTCGGAGCGCGAATCTGATGCTAGCTTCAAGCAAAGAAATGTCGACGTACGCTGTTGGGGGAACCGTGAGAGTTCAAAAAGACATTTTTCAAGGCTTAAATGTCGTGGCCAGTGACGGGTGTCGGGTGGCGTCAAATGCGTTTGCTGCCTGCTGCGCCCAGTATGTGTGCCTTGGACTTTGAGAACATGTGAGCCCAATGCGCAACAATCAAGTCTTCCAGGTCAATGTTTGGCATTGGCGAGGAAATCACGACTTGCCCAAAATCGAAGCTAGGGCGACCACGTCGCTGGTCGTGCATTCCACGGCATGCTTCCATTGGTGAGCCATGGCGCCCAACGCAACGAGGATGAGCACAAGCCACACGCACAGTTCAGGCATGTACCTAACTACCTATGTGCTGAAGCTGGCGGCCTCTGACTATCAGTTATCCGCCAGTTTGTTTCCACTGGCTCTCAAAGTTGTGTGTTGCGTCAGCCCGACATCTCCAGCGGGGACTAGAATCTGCTTTTCACTAAATGGATAACGTTACCGCGAGGTTGTATAAGAAAAGGCCCACGCACTGTTGGGGGTAGTGCTTGTTGTTTCTCTTTGGGAGAGTGAATTATCTGCCACAACTCCAATGCCGGCTTTTGGTGCCGTAACTATGGCAACTGCTGGTCGGCTCGTCCCTGCCAAAGGGCTCCCACTAACTAGGTAACTAGTGGGAGCCCTGCCAAAGAGTTAGATTAGGTCAGCAGTGGTGCTCTCTGTCACGAATATGCCAACAGGAGGGACCCGGGGGGCGCGGGACGCCTCGAGCCAATCATTAGCAACCAATCAGGAGGCCAAGGAGTAGTCAAGGTGATCAGTGAGCTCAGTTGCCAAGGACAGACTGAGCACACTGAGCACCAGGACAGGACCACCAATAGGGAGCCGGGATGGCTCAACATTGATCAGTGAGCTCAGTTGCCAAGGGCATACTGAGCACACGGAGCACTTAGGAATCAGCTAGTATATAGTCACTCGTCCTGGAGAGCTCTGGGAGTTCTCCAGTTAGCAATCACAACTACAGTTCGCTACAAGCTCGGAAGCCTACTGTTGAGACAAGTCTTTGTTGTGCACATTTTGGCTGCACCGAACCTAAGCACCCTTGAGAGATTACCTTCAACCCGAAGCTGAACCCTAACAGGACAGGGTCCTGAAGTAGGTTCGTCACACTCTCCAACATAGTTACGGCCCCTATGATGCGGCGATATGTTACGGCTAGTTACTGGGTAAGAAGAAGATCTGGATTCCTAGAAGCCGCCCCGATCAACCAGATCTCCATTATCTACCTTGTGTCATACCCACATCTTCTGTCCCGCACCTGAATGCAACGGGCAGACAAGACATCTTGACGCTCGTCTGTCCTTCACCGGCCAACTTGTGCCTGCTCGTTAGTATTTTACTAGGTACCTTAGTTCACCCATCGTCTGAACCCGACAAGTCCAGTCTCTTACCCACCACGGTCCTCCTCTGTAAGATCAGGTACCTACATACCTATTCATTGTTTCGTGTCATCGTCAAACCAAGGGACCAGGTGATTTTGTTGTTGTTTGCGTTTAGCGTCCTACAGCATGCAAGGCCGTGCTGAGCTAAGGTCTTATAATATGCGCAAGGTATATGCACAGCGTATAGGTAAGGTATGTAAACAGCAACTCTAACGCCGGGCGCCCTTCGACAGTGTTGTGCTTGTATTACTGTCGCTTCCACCTCCCTTCGCGGGGTACGCAGTAAGTACTGGTGTCAAGAGCCTTGATTCGACAGGGAGCAAGAGGCAGCAGCAGATGAGGACCCCATTCCCTAATGGCTGCCTTTTTTGTACCTATTTATGTGATCAGAGGTATCCGTAGGTACCTACTACCTACCTATGCAGTTGGCTGTTCAGCTGCACCAGCAATCTGGCTAAATAAATAGGCACAACCAACAGGTTCACAATCCACATGACCTGATCTGTTGTCACGACTCACAGATGCTTCCGTTCATTATTTCGCGCATGGCTCGCCGCACGCGGTGGCCTTGTTTTTTCTGCCTTCGGAGTAATCGGGCAAACACGGCCGTTTGCCTTCTTTAAGGCATTTCCCCCTGATGAGCGACTTTCCAAAACGAACTCGATCCCCTGAACTTTCTCTTTTCCCAGAAGTCGTTACACTTTTCCCTATAGCGGCCTTCTAAAACAAACCATGATTCCCAACACTGGCAAAGAGAGACGACTGTCCGAGGGTAGCGACTCGGACCAGTCAACCATCGACTTGCAGGCCTCGCCGCGTTCTCGGGATACCGCCCCTTCCCCTCAGTTATGTACCTCTATGGAAACTTCTCGGGAGTTCTTCAGACATTTACGACCGAGAAACTCTGCGGGGCTACCGGTGACGACTTTCTTTATCTCGTCGAGTTGCATTTCGGCTACACCACGCGGGGCCCTCCCCATTTCGGCCAAGGCTTCTATCTTCAAAATGGCACGACCAACAAGGACCTTATTCTCGCCGCTGCGGGTGACGAATATCCAATCCCCTATCTAATCAAACTGTTCGACCCCAAGACCTCCATCAAGCTGCCGCCATTGGACACGGAGAAGAACCCGCGGGACATGGTCACCGAAATCTTGCGCGCCTCTAGTGGCAAAGAGCACGGCGTCACCTTCCAGTTTGCGATTGAAGTCGGTGTCAAGAAGAGACAGAGAGAGGAATTTGAATGGCGAAAGACCAAAGGAAGCAAGGATGTCGGGGGCCATGAGACGCAAAATCGATACACGCTATACCGCCTCGCATCCAACCCTCCGGTCGCTTCTTCTTCTTCCGCCCCCGTTCCGGACGACACCCAGATCGTAGCTGAGCTCGCGTTCCGCAATGTCATGAACGTCAAACACATATTCACTTTGGAGCTGCAGGGTGCTGGGCCTCAGGGGAGAGCTTGGTGACCGCTGGAAGCTCATGGTGGTCATGACTTCTCTGGGCCTCCACTGGGCTGCGCCAGAACGGCAAGACCAACAAGGCAACAGTTGGGGTTGCGCAGATGATACACTCAAAGAAGGGTATTGGGCTGGGATGGGCATG